TAGCCTTAGGGCAATCCTTCATCATGTGGCCACTCTCACCACAACTAAAGCAACCCTCTCTACCCGCCAAACACCTACCCTCATGCCTCTTACCACACCTAGAACAAGAGGGCCATAGGGACTCATTACTCATCCCTTGTGGCTTAGGGGTAGACACCCTCTCATCCTTATACTTATGAGAATTAGAAAAGCTTTGTCCGAAAACGTTTTGTCGATTCCTAGAACGACCATGCCCATCAGACCCATCATGAAAGGACTTATCATTTTCCATCCTAGACCTCTTTCTCTTTCTAGATTTTTCCTCTTAAAGTTTATCCCTCTCCATTTGTTGAGCATATACCATAAGGCGTGATATGTCCATATCATCATGGATCATTGTTGTACGACATTCTTTTGACACTAGCTTGGACACTCCCGTCACAAACCTATTCATCATATCCCTAGGGCTTGCTACCATAGATGGAGCATACTTAGACAAAAGGGTGAATTTCAAAGAGTATTCTTCTACACTCAAATCACCTTGCTTAAGGTTGATGAATTCTCTAACTTTGGCTTCCCTCAATTCCTGGTGGAAAAACCTATCTAAGAATGCCAACTTAAAAGCTTCCAACTCTATAGGGCCCGCTCCTATCGGCCTACTATCTTTCCATTGCTCATACCAAATTTAGGGACGTCCTTCAATTGATAGGCGGCTAGTTCTGCTTTCTCAATAGAAGACACCCCCATGATTGCTAGCACCTTATAAACCTACTCTATGAACCCATTTGGATCTTCTTGCACCTTGGAGCCATAGAACTCCGGCGGGTTCATTCTTAAAAACTCTCTTACTCTAAAAGCACCCATCCCCCTTATAGGGTTTGCCGGACCCACCACCTCTCTATTGGCTTGCGCCGTTAAGGCTTGAGCCAATAGTTGCATAGAAGTCTTAAACTCTTCAAGAGTGGCATTCCCAATTGGAGGGTCATTTGGAACTTGAGAAGGAACTTCATTTGGAGCTTGGGCAGGAATCTCTTGGTCTCCATTGTCTTCTCCTTGTCTCCTAGGATTAGCCCTAGTACTTGCCATAACCTAAAAAATTATAGGCAAACATTAGAAGAATGACCCACTAGATCTAAACTTCTATGGCACGACCAAGAGAATGAAGAAGTGAGATTTTTCCTAAGCATCTCATAGCCTCCTATTCATAGAATGTGTCACAACTCACACCCATGAATAAAACTCTACTAGATATGGTTTGAGACATCTTAAAATTTTCCCAAAACCTTATGCTTTGATACCAAGTTTGTCACGACCCAAGGGTACCCCCTAGACGTAACACGGCCTACTCGATCCAGAAGGGGTCTAATACAAGACCTTTGCATCATAACATAGGTATTAGAATTGAAAATACGGAACAATTTAAAACTTTTACAGTCGAGTCATATTTCATAAAAGCAACAAGCGGAAGTCTTTCTATACTCTTTGCCTCAAACCATCTAATACAACTTTAGAATAAACTCTTGGGACACAGTCCATACAATAGTCTCAACATAAAGAAATGACATAAAGGTAAATTGGATGTTGTCCTCAAAGCTATGAGGACTCACCAAGATCTTCAACTCTTCTAGATCCTTGAAACCTAGCCTCCAAAGCAACTCAAGCCTCCAACCCTACATTTGATTAGAATGTAGGCAATATGCATTGAATACAAAATGTACCAAGTATGAAAGCTAGCACAACATCATAAGAGCATCTCAAATGGTTAGTCAACATAAGACATAAACATAAGAGATAATAACATATTCATAGCATAATCATCGTAGTCACATCATGGTCTCCAACATAAGCATCATATAAACATAAGTCAACATACGACATAGTTAATGAGCATAGGAGACAAGTCATAATCATATAAGCATAATTGACCCTTAGTCATCCATATCATAATAGCACCATTCTCAAGTAACTTCAAAAGCATACAAGTGCAAAGCAAGAATAGCATCCCATAATTCCACCCAAGCTAAGTATTCCTTTTTAGTCATCTTAATCATAGTCTACATGCATGGTTAAGTCATAAGTCTTTCTACCATAAGGTTACTATACTTCTAAGGAACCTCAAGACACACTTGTGCAATGCATGAAAGGCATCCCATACTACCCTTCATACTAAGCATAGCTTTGAAAGCATCTTAGGCATATTCACCCTCCTTTTGGTCTTACTAAAAGCTTACTTCATATAGACAAGGGAACTACCACCTTAGTCAATCATATCTTGGTAGGCAACTATGGCAACAACCCAAGCTAAGTCAGACTACATAAGGGAACCCTTCACAACTAGTCTCAAGTCATACTTGTGCCATGTGTAGGTAGCATCCCATACTACTACCCACACTAAGTACTTCTTTAGACTACCATGAATGTTCACTAGTTGGGGACTAATCCCTCTAGTCTATTTACCTCTTCAAGGTTATCAAGGAATAATCCCGTAAAAGGCTAGACCATGCTATAATTATACTAACATAACTAGGTTAAGCTAACCTAACTACCTTGGAAGACACACTAACATGTAAGTCCAAGCTACTCTAGGAAAGGTAAAAGCGTCCTATCCTAGCTGCCATGAAATAGTCCTAAACCAGCTAAGTCATGCGACCCTTACAAGTGTGCTACAATACAAATGCAAGCTATCCATAGGGGAGTATGATTCTCAACCTTAAGCTATCCTTAGGAGAGTATGAGTCCTCAATCCCAAGCTACTATGACTAACCTAACTCAAGCTATCCTTGAAATGCATCTTACAATGCAACGTCAAGCTACCCTTAGGAGAGTATGGATCCTCAATCCTAAGCTACCCTTAGGAGAGTATAAGTCCTCAATCCTAAAGCTACCATGAAATGGTCTTGTCCAAACCAAGTCATGCTACCATGAAAGCATCCTAACAATGCTAGTTCAAGCTACCCATAGGAGAGTATAAATCCTCAATCCTAGGCTACCATAACTACTTCTAAATCATGCTACCATGACATGCATCCTACAATGCTAAGTAAAGATATTCCTTAGGAGAGTATAAATCCTCCATCCCAAGCTATCAACCTTGGTCTTATTCTAATAAGCCAAGCTATACATGAAGGAAAGATATGCCTCAACTTCAAGCTATTCTATATTAACATGATTTAATTTATTTAAGGTTATTAAGTCAACCTAGAATCCTTCTATGTGAGAGAACCATTGGATCTCCTAGCAATTCATGCCTAAGTCTGTAAGAGAAAGAGAATATTCAATCAAGATCACCTCATATAGACTTTACCACCAAAGCCCTAACAATGATGGGTACAAGCCCTACTTTCAAGATTAACTTCATTCTATCATGATCCATGTCTAAATTACAAGCTATTCAATAACATTGTTCATTCTAACTTTACAATTCAAGATGCTTCCTATTCAATGAAGTTTAGTTCAATTCATGATTGGATTATCCTAACTATGATCAATTAGTATTCAAGACATTAAAATAGGAAGATCACTTTAGAACCTTCAATTTTGCCTCTAATGGCATAAACCCACAAAGATCACATTCATCAACTTAGATTAGGGTTTACCATAGAAATCACATGAATTCATCATAATATCATTAAAAAAAGCTAATTCAATCATAATTGGGTGATATCAACTAGATTGGAATCACACCCAAGCCCTACCCACAATGCAATCACAACCCTAGCTAGAATTGGGTTTTTGAGTTCACAATTGGGGGGAAACTATGGGGGCTCCATGGGTGGAAGAACCCATGGATGATTAAGCTTCACATACCTTCAATCAAATCCCTAAACAAATCTTTAATCAATGGGGAAAATCTCCCTAAGTTGCTGACGTCTTCTCTTCTGTTCTTCTTCTTCTTCTTCTCTATTCTAGAGAGATGATTTTTGGAGAGAGTTTTTGGGTCTTTAGATGAATGAGTTAAAGTGATTAGTTTAGGGTCTATTAAATATTTATAGGAGTTTAATTAACTACATAATATCCCCTCCTTACCCCTAAACTAATTACTAAACTAATCCTCAACTCCTCACTTAAAAATTAAAAGCTTAAAAACTGGCAGAATTCACGCCCTTCCACCCACGGACCGTGGATAGGACTAGTGTCCGTGGTCTTGGTCCGTGGTTTGGACCTGAGGCTCATATTTTTCAGGGTGTTTCAGTCCTTGACCTGCGCCCATGACCTACGGGGCGTAGGTTGATCTAAGGGGAGTGAATTGAGGTCGTGAACCAAGCTGTTTTGACAGCTTTTTGGGCAGTGTTGGGGTCTTCCTCAAGGACCCGTTGGGTGGTCCTTGGGGAGTCGTACCCGTACGTTTAACCCCTAAACATGTCAGCCTAAGTAGGTGAGTCAATTTTACAAGTTTTAACCCTCATACGACACTCCAAACCTCACACCAAAAGCTCTAGAACTCACTAGTTCAACTAACTAATTTATGGGGTGTTACACGATGGAATATTTTTTTTAGTCGCTAAAAAATAGCGGGAAACATTGGCGCGCTAATTTTTGGTATGTATTTTGCAACAAAGTAGTTGTGACAAATTTATTAATATTCCGCGATGAGAAAGCGTTGCTAGAATTATAAAAATATTTTATGGAATTTAAATTATATAGTGATAGAAAAATCAGTCGTGAGAATTTAATTTAAATAAATATATTTATTTAGTAGCGACGGATATCATAATCCGTCGCTAAGTTTGTTGCAATTTTTTTTAACTAAGTCTTCAGTCCATAGAAAACAAAAAAGGAAACAAAAAAACATCATCCCTAAAAAATATGGTTTTCTCTTAGTGCAAAGGGAAGCTCACGTGAAAGCTCCCGTCTCCTCAGGTGAAATCGCTCCCGTCTCAGGTGAAAGGTGATATTTCTCCCGTCTCCTTCATCCTAAGGTGAAAGGTGTAGATAAGCTTTCAAAGGTGGATCAACTTGCAAAGGTGAGCTTCTGCCATTACTTCTGATTCAGTGAGCATTTTAGAGGCTTCTATCTAACAATGGCTTCTGCACATACTCTTCAACTTGGTATCTAGTTCAGGTGAAAGCTCTGTCTCCTTCTCAAGCTTCTTCCTCAGGTGAGCTTCTGCCTCAGGTGAAAGCTCCCGTCTCAAGCTTCGATTCTGTTTACCTTTGAACCGTGGTATGTAAATGGATGAAATGTTCTTTTGGGTTCATTCGCATAGCTTCAAAATGGCCTAATCTTATTCCGGAGAGTTAATCTAGTTTTCTTCTTTGCTACCTCCTGAGATGACTTCTTATATGTCGGATATTGTGTCAATTATAAGCATGTATGATGCCTTAGTTTTCTTGTATCATTGAATTAATCATGATTTGGTCAAATATGAGGTAGTTACATTGTTGTGGTGTTTTGTTGTTTAAGCTCATTGATGTAGTAGCTTATCTGATGCAAAAAATGGCGTTGTTGTTTGTTAGTTTAATTTCTTCACTGTTCATTCTCATTTCTGTCAAAGTGGTGAAAATTTGATCAAATCTAGGCATCCCTTTGGTTTGATTTACTGCTTCCAACATAATAGATGTGGCTTATCTCTATTCTTTATCAGTGCATTAGTCAGTGTTTACTTGTTACTGCAGTATAAGTCTTTAGTTACTGTGGTTTAAGTCTTTTAGTAACTGCTTTTCTTTACTGTTTACTATGTCTTTAGCAACTAATTAGGATTAGCTTTATCTCCCCATTTTGTGGAGTTATCTTAGGATATTGTTAGACTCAATCGTGTGTATCAAGCTGTAACATTCTAGCCATAAGCAATTAAGTTCTTCTGCAGCTTATCTTGTTTCTTTATGGTATCAAGAACCACAATAAACTCTAACGAGTAAGATCCTATTTTTTTTCTCTCTACCAACCTCCATCATTGGGTGATACTTCTCGAGTTGTCACCGCAGATACCAACATTGGAGTGACAATCATTCAATTTAATCTGTCATCCCAATTGCATATCAAATTACTTGGCGGCCAAAACTTTTCAACGTGGAAGGCACAATTTTCGATGCTCATGCATGGTCATGATCTATATGGGCATCTCAATGGGTCTGCTCCTTCCCCCTCACGCAAGATCACAACTAGCACAGTCCCTAGTGCGATCCTGCATTTTCTCTTTGGTTTTGACAAGACCAACTTATTCAGAACACATTTATGGCATCGGTTGATCCCACAGTTACCACAACTATTGCATCTTAAAAAAAAATAAAAAATACAGTAGTATAATATTCAGTTTGCGTGATCGACTTATGCGACTCACCAAAGACTCCCAACCAGTCACCGAATATTTGCAAATATTCGATCTATTTCTGATAAACTCTCTATTGTTGGTGCCCCAGTTACCAACTTTGAACTTATTGTTAAGATAATAAGTGGTTTGGGCCCAGAGTTCCGTGAGATTTCCACTGCAATTTGGGCTCGTGACTCCACTATTACTTATGAAGAACTCTATGAAAAGCTATTGGATCATGAGTTGTTCCTTCGCCATGAAGAGTCTAAAACCACTCCAACCCAGATTACTACTGCAACTGCTACTTCCACCAAGTCTGGTCATCCCAACTCTCAGCACCCTCGTCGCTCCAACAATGGCACTGGCAGCAACCAACAATGGCGGTCCAACAATCACTTTCCTACGCCCAATCAGTATCGATCTTCGCCCACCACCAACTCTTATGATTGTGTTCGCTGTCAATTGTGCAACAAACCGGGTCATGTTACAAGTGTTTGTCGATCAAAATCTCACAATCATTTTCAGGCAAAGGCCAACCATATTTCTGGATTCCAGGCATCCGCAATTCCCTGGATTGTCGATTCTGGCGCATCTTATCATATCACTGCTGACCCTCACAACTAGTTAGCATACAATGGGATGGAGTAGGTTTACATGGGTGATGGTAACAAAATTTCAATAATTCACACTGGTTCAACTCAATTACATGCCTCAAATAATGCTTTCAAACTTTATGATGCTCTATGTGCACCTACCATTAAACGTAACTTACTTTCAGTTTCCAAGTTTTGTCAAGATAATCTCACTTTTGTTGAATTTTTTCCTTTTCATTTTTGTGTGAAGGACCTGAAGACACGGACTCCTTTGGTGCACGGTCGGAGTAGATACCGTCTTTATGAGTGGCCCACTTCACCTTCCCTGCCTTCAGCAAAAGTACTTGTTGCCTGCACCAATTCTTTCTCCAATCTCACTTGGCATCGTCGATTGGGTCATCCGCATGCAAGTGTTTTAAATTTATTTTAAATAAATTCTCGTTTCCTTGTTCATGCGAAAAAAATTCAGTTTGTAATTCTTGTTCATCAAATAAAGCTCATCGGGATCCCTTTCAACGACTTACGCTATCATGTACCAAACCATTTTCAGTGATTTGTGGGTGCCTTCTCCAGTTTTATCAATTGACAAAAAATTATACTACTGTATTTTTGTTGACCAATATACCAAATACATTTGGCTTTATACCTTGAGCAAAAAAACTGAGGTTAAAGAACTTTTCAAAAACTTTCAAGTTTTAATGGAACGTATTTTTAATACGAAAGTTCTTTCTCTATTTACTGATGGTGGTGGAGAATATAAAAGCCTAGATCCATACCTAAGAAATCAAGGTATTGAACATCTTTTAGCTCCTCCATACACCCCTCAACGAGTTTCTCTTGTTGAACGTCGACATAGACATATTGTTGAAACGGCACAAACTTTACTCTATGAAGCTTCGCTCCCACCAACCCTTTGGTCCTTTGCCTGTCAACACGCGGTTTATCTCATCAATCGCTTACCTACCTCACTTTTGCAAAATCAATCACCTTTCCATATGTTATTTGGTAAACATCCATATTACGCCCAATTAAAATTTTTTGGATGATTTTGTTAGCCATGGCTCAAGCCATACTCGAAGAATATTTTAGAGCCGAGGTCGAAGGCTTGTGTTTATTTGGGGTTTTCGTCCAATTATCATTGTCATCAATGTTTCGATCCAAAATCTTCCAAAATATACTTGTCTCAAGATGTCACAGTTTTTGAAAGTGTTTTCCTTTTGAGACTATGTTTTCAAAACTTTCCTCATATTTTAAAACTCTTGCCTGGGAAAACCTAGTTGAACCCACCCTGGTTAGGTCTCCTCTATCTTCTCCAACCTCTTGTACAAATTTACCACCCTCTATTATTTTACCTAATGCAGATACCATCAAGCACACGCATGAGACTGACTCTTCCAGCTGCGCTTCAACAGGGTCTGCAATTTCATGTACCTCTCCTAATTCTTCTCCTCTACTTTCTTCTCTTCCTGCAGCCCCATCACATTCTATATCCCTGTCACCAACTCAACTACAATCCACATCCAATCAGCAATCACTGAAACCTCCTATTCAATTTGCTTACTCTCGTTGCTCAACTCAACTGGCACAACAGAACACATATGCTCTAGCCTTGCCTACCCCACCCCCTTCCTATCTACCTCAACATCGAGTCGTCACCCGTTCACAACACAATATCCATAAACCAAAGAAGCTTTTTTATTACATAGCCCAAATAAGACCTCCATTCACTCCCACCACCTTCAATCAGGTCACCAAACACATAGAGTGGAAGACTGCTATGAAATTTGAGTTTGATTCACTGTGTAAAAATCAAGTGAAAGGCTGATGGTTCTATTGATCGCTATAAAGCTAGATTGGTGACAAAGGGATTTACACGTCCCGGTGTTGATTTTCATGACACGTTCAGCCCAGTAGTCAAACCCACTATTGTTCGTGTATTCCTCTCTATTGCCATCAAATTTGATTGGCCTATTCGTCCACTTGATTTTAATAACTTATCCGTCAACTTGATGTTAATAACGCATTTCTTCAAGGAAGTCTAGATGAAGAGGTTGATATGGCCCAACCTTAGGGGTTTGAAGCTACAACTTATACAACTCATATTTGTCGTCTTCATAAAGCTATCTACGAACTCAAACAAGCTCCCAGAGCATGGTATAATGAACTCAAGAATCATTTGCTCCTGTTGGGCTTCATCAAATTTAAGTCTGACAGTTCCCTCTTTATCTGTCACTGTTCTCGTGCCACTATGTACCTACTGGTATATGTAGATGATATTATCATTACTGGTAGCGACACTTAAATTGTTAATCAGGTAATTTCTTCATTTGCTGCCCATTGTTATATGAAAGATCTTGGCAAGCTCACCTACTTTCTAGGTATTGAAGTCATTAGAAGTACAAATTGTATTATTATGTCACAGAGTAATTATACCAGTGATATATTGCATGAGAAGAATATGGCTGATTGCAAAATTGCTGAAACGCCTATGAGTGCTATTGAAACACTCAAGGTCGAAGATGGTGGATTATCCGCGGATGCAACCAGATATAGGAGGGTAATCGGGAAGCTTCAGTATTTGTCCTTCACTCGTCCAGACATTTGTTTCTCAGTAAACAAGTTGTCACAATTTATGCAAACTCCCTCAGAGACTCACTGGAAAGTTGTCAAATGGGAACTACGGTATCTTCAAGGGACTGTTCATTTTGGTTTGCGTTTGATGAGCCGTAATTCCCTCTCTTTACATGTGTACTCTGATGCGGATTGGGCTGGAGACGCTAGTGATCGCGCTTCCACTACTAGTTATCTTTTGTTTTTGGGCAAAAATCCTATGACTTGGTCCTCCAAGAACCAAAGAACGATTGCTCATTCTTCCACTGAAGCTGAATATCGGGAAGTTGCAAGTTCCTTTGCGGAAACAAACTGGGTCACCAACCTTCTGGCTGAGCCGCAACTTAAACTTCACAGTGTCCCAACTATCTACCGTTACAATGTTGGTGCTACGTAGTTATGTGCCAATCCAGTTTTTCATAGTCACATGAAACACATTGCGGTGGATTTCCATCTTGTTCGCATACAAGTTCAGCTCAAGCTACTTCAAATTGTCCATATACACGCTGCGGACCAACTAGCAGATACTCTTACCAAGGCCCTTTCAAAACCTGCCTTCGACAGGCACATGTTCAAGCTAGGCAATTTTGCACACTACCTACCTCGAGGGAGGCGTATCAGTGCATTAGTTAGTGTTTAGTAGTTACTGCAGTATAAGTCTTTAGTTACTGTGGTTTAAGTTTTTTAGTAACTACTTTTCTTTACTGTTTACTATGTCTTTAGCAGTTAATTAGGATTAGCTTTTTCTCCCCATTTTGTGGAGTTAGCTTAGGGTATTGTTAGACTCAATCGTGTATATCAAGCTATAACATTCCAGCCATAAGCAATTAAGTTATTCTGCAGCGTATCTTGTTTCTTTATTCTCAAGTGGCTGGATTGTTGTTTGGGTTCATTTGAAGTTCTGAGCTCACTGTTTTAAGATCATATTTCTCATAGTTCTGTTCTTAATTTGGTTCTTAGCTTTGCATTTTGAATGTTTCAGTTTTTCTTGTTTATTATTTACTTCTGAATTGGTGGGTTTGTAATAATTCAAATTCATCAATTCATTTCCAGCACTTCTTAGCTTCTTTTGTGTTTCGTCTTGTTTGGGTTTAGATAGTGTTCCGCTATTTATTTAGAAGTCTTAAAACAATTGAAACTTTACATAATCCCATTGTAGTTGCTTTTAGTTTTCTAATATTTTCTCCCAACTTGACAAATAAACAATTGAATACCTAAAAATTTTCTATTCCATCCAAAATTGGGCACACAAAAGTTCTATTTTAAGGATTGAACTTTAGGACACGAAAACACAAAAGACAATGAAAGCAACTGATCAAAGTATAGATAAAGAAGATGCTATGATTACTAATCAAGTAAAGTTTCATCTTTTTCTATGAAGATGATTACGTAAACTATCATTTTAGAACATTGCAACAATCTATCCCTAAAAGCACATAGTTATATAAGACATGAATTCAAATATTTATGTAGACAAGAAATAAGAAATAAGAAAAAAAGAGCAAGAGAGAGAGATAAAAAAAATTGAGTTGGCTGAAGCATCAGGTTCCTATATAGCCTAGTTGTTGAAGACATTAATACCTTGATGTGAACTCATGGTAAGTGTTTACACAACTCAAGACAACAACTCATTCATATTAAGTGTTTAGTTGTTACGTGTTCTGTTATTGTTTCATGTTCTTGTTAATAACCAAGACAATCTGATGTTAAAATATTGCAGGCACTACTGTGCTACCCTAATCTGAGGATCTGGTAGATATTAACTGGAAGTAAGCCTTACGCTTTATTTCTACCCCTAATTTAGCTCAAAATTTAACTATCGAGGTATTTACTTTACTAAATTAAATTAGGAAGAAGCTTGATGTCATTGTGTTAAAACTATTCGAGTTAGAGTTTTTTTTAACGAGACAAGTGGAAAATCTAGAGAATTCTTATTTTGTTGTTGTGGGTTCTTTGAGATTACTTTTTTTATGGACGAATGCATTCTAAACTCTAACTTCTTTTGTCTTATTTGCTGGAGAAATATATTGTAGACTTTATATTCTTCATTGGGTTTATTTTCTAGAAGAATTGTTGTACAATGATTGTCTTAGGCACTGTCTTTTTGAAATAAATATTTTCAATGTGCTTAAGTCAAATTTAGTTTCTTTCTATGTGTTTGGTGTTTTGTTATTTGTATGCTTGTACTACTAGTTCCTTATTTATAAAAGGAAGTACAGTTTATACTCTAAAGTAACATGGCTGGACTTAGAATGCTTTAGCATCTTGATTAGAATAAGAATGCTTCAGTAACTTGATTGTAAAAATAATGCTTTATTATCTAGTAAGTTTTTTTTCAGCTTTCCTAGTGAGAAATTTCAGAAACTGTTTTTGTTAGTTCGATCTGTATATTTTGACTAAATTTAATGAATATGAATTAGAGTACCTTTTGGTCAATCAACTAGTGCTTTTTTGTAACATTTTTGCTTGTTTAAGCATTAATAGGAACATGAATAATCTAGAGCGTGGTTGGATGTATGAGAGGTTATATGGACGAGGAGCTATAAACTCTAGTTTCATAACAGGTGTGGATAAATTTACCCAATTTGCATGTTCACAACAGAATCGCGTGAGAGGTGACAAAGTGAGATATCCATGTAAAAAATGTCACAACTTTAGATTCATGGATGTTGAAATCGTTAAACATCACCTTTATAAGACTGAATTTGTTCATAACTATTTTGTTTGGAAGCATCAAGGGGAAAAAGATGTGATCAATGAAATTTCTTCGGGTCAAGATTTGCATGGTAGTGCTCAACCTGAATTAACATATGATAATCCATACCGACAGATAGTTTTAAATGCCTCGTGTCCCAACTTTCCCCAAGGTTCAGGTTGGCAATCTTCTACCAATATTGAACCTCAGTCAACTTTTCCTTGTGAACCTTTCATGGAGGAAGATCCTAATCCCGACTCTCAAAAATTATATGATTTGCTATAAGTAGCTGATCAAAAATTGTATCTCAGTTCTTCTCTCTCTCTCAACTTGCGCTTGTCTCTAGGATGTTAAATATTAAAATGGAGAACAATATGTCATAGAGAGGTTATAATCAAATGATGCAATTGTTGAAAGAGGCTTTACTTGAAGATAACACGGTTCTTGATAGTTATTATCCGACCAAGAAGCTAGTGTGCAGCTTGGGTTTGCCGATTGAAAAAATTGATTGTTGTGAATCAAGATGTATGTTATATTGGGGTAATGATGAACACCTTACATGTTGTACATTCTGTGGCCAGGAGAAATACAGGCGTCGTGTTGGCTCTCATATAAGGAAATTGGTCCCATATAAGAAAATGTATTATTTTCCTTTGATTCTTAGATTGCAAAGATTATATGCATCCCCTACTACTGCTGCTGACATGAGATGACATCAAGAGCATCCAAAAGAGGATTGTGTAATGCGTCATCCATCAGACTCCGAGGCTTGGAAGCACTTCAATGAAACTAATCAGTTTTTGTTGCGGAACCAACAAATGGAAGATTGGGGTTATGTGGTGACGATTTCCAACCATTTAGTCAGTCTGGGAGTAAATACTCTTCATGGCTAGTGATTATCACTCCTTACAATTTACCTCCAGGAATGTGTATGAAAGTGGCTTATATGTTCTTAACTGTTATAGTTCCAGGGACAAACAATCCCAAAGATAAAATTGATGTTTATCTGCAGCCTCTGATAAAAGAATTGACTATGTTGTGGTAGACAGGTGTGGAAGCATTTGACATCTCAAAGAAACAAAACTCTCAACTAAGGGCAACTTTAATGTGGACAATCAGTAATTTTCCAACATATTCTATGTTATCGGGATGGAGTACTATGGGTAAGTTAGCATATCCCTGATGTATGGAAGAAACACAATCCTTTAGATTGAAACATGGTAGAAAAACATCATGACTTGATTATAATAGGATGTTTCTCGACCAAAATCACCCATTTAGGAGAGATCATAAGAACTTTCTTAAAGGCAAGACTGTATAAAGATCATCACCACCCTATAGAACAGGAGCGGAATTATTGAACCAAATTTGTGACTTGGGCATTAGAAAAGTAGCAGAGTTAATTGCAGAAGAAGTTAATCGAAGATTATGTAAGTCTTGTGTATGGACAAAGCAAAGTATCTTTTGGGATTTACCTTATTGGAGTTCTAACATGATTCGACATAATCTTGATGTTATGTATATTGAGAAAAATGTCTTTGATAATGTGTTTAACATAGTTCTTAAGTTTGATGACAAAACCAAAGACAATCCACAATCACGTCATGATATGGTAGAATATTGTGATCGACCTCAATTGGCAAAAGACAGTAGTGGAAAATATCTCAAAGCTGTATATACAATAGACAAGGAAGCATGAGCTATCTTGTTCAATTGGGTGAAAGGCTTAAAATTTCCAGATGGGTATGTTTCCAATTTGGGTAGATGTCCAGACACAAATGCGAAAAGGATATTTGGCATGAAAAGTCACAACTGTCACATGTTCATGCAACGATTAATGTCTATTGCTTTTCATGAACTACTTCCTAGTAATGTGTGACAGACACCAACAGAACTGAGCTTATTTTTTAAAGATCTTATTTCCACCACTCTATGAGTGGATAACATGGAGAGATTAGAGAGATTTATTCCACAAATCCTATGCAAGTTAGAACGTATATTTCCTTCTGGGTTCTTTGGCTCGATGGAACATCTTTATGTGCACCTTCCATATGAAGCAAGGATAGCTCGACCAGTGCAATATCGATGGATGTACCCTTTTGTAAGGTAAATGTGAAACTTTATGTCACTTATGACTAGTTTACCATAAATTCCTTTTCTAATGTAATGGTCCATAATTTTTCTCTATTTAGGTATATGGGAACGCTTAAAAGGATGATTGGGAATAAAGCTAGTGTTGAGGGTTCCATTTGTGAAGCGTACTTGATGATAGAGTCAACACAATTGTTTTCTCATTATTTTGAACCTCATGTCATTACACGTAATCATAATGTGGAACTTAATGATGATGGTGGTGTTGTGGAAGATCTTGAAGGAAATTTATCAATATTCTCCCATCCAGGTCGACTACAGGGAGAAGCAAAAAAAAGGATTTATCCCTTGAAGAAATCAACGCTGCCCAAACTTATATCTTACTAAATTATGAGGAGGTTGAGCCATTTGTAAGGTAACAAAAGTTAGTGGTATTTTCTAAGTAATATGAACATATCTTTATTCACGACTATTACTTATATTACTATGATGAAGTATGTTCATGAACCATTTGCAAGAAGAATTTCCGAATCTATCTCAGGGTCAAATTGATGAGAGCCTTGAAGCAAATTTCTCTACATGGTTCAAGGATTTTGTAAGATGTGAAAATT